TAATTATACTTTAATAAATTAATTATTTAAAAATATTACGTAGCATATATACAATACATTTTGAGAAATATATTGATGAAATTACAAAAAACTTTACTACCTCGTATTTTATTTTCTTATCACTGGTGCTGTTTAGTAAATCGTGAATAGTGGTACGAATCTCTTGAGCCTGGTTTTTACTCGTCTCGCAGACCCACACAAGTAGCGTTATTTTCAAAACATTATATATTATGGTCATTGTAAGCAAATCAAGAAAATTTCTATCCAAACTAATAATGAACGTTCCATCTTGCCAGCGCAATGCATAGAAGTACAATTCAAAGGTGATTACTGAAAAACACATAACTACAGTAACAAGGAGTTGTAGACTGAAGATTATATTCAGCGTTTGTACTGCGTCACTAATCATCAGATGCCTCTTCTTTAGAGTTTTCAGTTCTGTCAGCAAAATTTGATTTCTCTGCTTGCAGTAAATAAATCTGGAGACAGATGGCTTCATATTGTTTATCATATGCCGTTGCATATGCATCAGATTATCGTTGATTTCCTTGAAGCAGGCTTTCAATATACAAACACAATTTATGTACATCATAATTATTTGTAATAACAGTAAGGCGAAATATGTTGTGAACACCCCAATTAGGACAGAAAAATAGCTAATTGATTTCTCTAGTTTTTTCGAAAAATAGATGTATAATTGTACAAGTCTGAAGATAATACTCAATATGTCCTTGACGTGAATCAATCTGGACAACTTTTGGTACGATTCCGGGGGTAAATTCGAAGAGATCTCCCATATTGTCTGCAACAAACGCATTCGAGGACCACTTAAGACGTGCGTTGCAATTACTATGAAAGTGCTGAGTGAATAGTAAATAACAATGTTTACATTCCAGGTCACGTCTCGAAACATTGTTTTTGAAGTAATAATACTGTGAATTAATATGAAGTTCATAACGCAGCAAACGAAGATAATGACGGATGACAGGATGTAGCGCGGTTTCGAAGCCTCGAAAGTCGAAGCATTGATCTTGTACGGAAATAGTCCGAAAATGCGACATAAGGTGAAGCAGGGACACATTAAGGATTGAAAGTCCGTGGCACGGCACAACCACCATCTTTTTCGCATTTTGCTTTTCTTCGGTTTTTGGAGTTAAACACAATTAGCAGAAAGTAGTAGAAGAATAACAATATTATTATGTATTGTCACTACATTATTATTCACATACACTTTTTTAGCATTAGTGACTGATGTGATTGCGAAAGATTCTTTTCTAGGTGTAACTTTAAAGTCGGTTTCTTCGCAGGAAATAAACGTAAATCGATACGTGTCATCCCTACTATCTACATGCGATGTTTTTGAGACATGATGTTTTAAAACTGCGAGCAAGTGTTGTATCTAAGAGACAAAGCTAATGAAACCATTTGTTAGTCGTGAAGTAACCATG